ATCTTGTACCTCTACATGACAAGTCTTGATTCTCATTTTTTCCCCTTACCTCTGCCCTCCCTTCACCCCCTCTCCCCCTCCCCATCTACAAACACTTTATTTCCATCTTTTCATTATCTCACATTTTTTCTTTTCCCTTATTACCCTTCCCCTACCCATCCCACCTTCCCTATACCTTTAGCTCCTTTGTTCCCATTTCTAAATGTCAGTAATCTTATTAGGATCTTATGTATTATTGCAGATTATTCACACCAGAGAGACTATTCGGTATTTACACATGTGTGCCTTATTTATTTCACTTAGGAGTATATCCTCAAAATGTACCCATTTACCTATGAATGAATCTACTTTCTCATTCTTTATGGCTGAGTAGCATTCCATTTTATAGAAAAACCACATCTTCTTTATCCAGTTTCCAACGGATGGGCAAATGGGCTGTTTCCAAGTTTTAGCTATTACAAGCTGTGCCGCTATAAACATGGGTGGGAGTGCAGACTGGTGCAACCACTATGGAAATCAATATGGAGATACTTCAAAGAGCTTGGACTGGAGGTTCCATTTGACCCAGCCATCCCTCTGCTGGGTATCTTTCCAAAAGAACTAAAAGAATCATATCACAGAGAAGTATGTGCACCCATGTTTATAGCGGCAATGGGTCTCTTATGACTGATAGTAAGGCACTTAACACTTCCCTGAGTCCTGCCTTCACTTTCCTTCCCACTGACCCAGTCAGCATCATGGATAAGAACGGCCCGATGACAGCCTCTGACCTGAAATCTACACTTGACACCTACGTTTGCCCTGGTCAATCCCGGTTCTATACTACAGCCAAAATGATGTCTTTAAATGCAAATCAGACACCTCAGCTTAACACTGCTTGATGGTTTTCCATCGCTCATTTGTAGAATAAAACTCCAATTTGTCACCTAGTACAGTGGCACTCAGTAAGTGGGGTCTGAGGAAGATGGGGTGGTGCTGGGTGAAGGAACACAGGCCTGTGGCTTAGGACATGCTGCTGCTGTGACTCACAAGGCCCCGTGAACTAGCACACAGAACAAGGGGACGGCTCTACCTGTGCTAGCTGAAAACCGGAGGGGAGTAGAAGAGAAACAGTCTTAGATACTGTGATGGTTACGTTTGTGTGCCCTTCTCTGGGCTACAGGGTGCCCACATATTTGGCCAAACATTACTCTGGGTATTTCTATGAAGGTATTTTTGGAGAGATTAACATGTAAATTGTTGTATTTTTAGGGAAGCAGATGATTCACCATAATTCTCATACAATCAGTTGAAAGTTAAATAGAACAAAAAGGTTTGCCTCTCCAGAGGCAAAAGAGAATTTTCCAGTCAACTGTCTTTGAGCCTCCTCTGCAACATCATCTCTTCTTGGCTCTACTGCAGTCAGCCTTCAGATTCAAACAGGAGCACCAGTCCTCCAGGGTTTCCAGCCCACCAGCCGGCCCTGCAGATTTTGGACTTGCCAACCCACAAAACCAAGAGCCAATTCATTACAATAAATTTCTTTCTGCATATGCATCTTATGGGTTCTATTTCTCCAGTGTCCAGATGAATACAGATACCAATTTGTCAACTACACCTCATTTTATCCATGAGGATACCAAAGCCAATGGAAATTGTATCATTTATCCAATGTCAATGTTTTAATGGCAAAGTTGGACCAGAAACTAAAGCTCTTGATTCTTGGACTGATCCTCTTAAAAATGACACAATAGTCTCCTCCCCACCACCATATGAGCTGTATTTCTCTCGATAGGTTATGCATTAATGTTACTTATTTCATCAAATCACATGAATTGGAAAACACTGCCAGAGCAGATAATAACAGTGAAGAAGAACACTATCTTCCACAGATTTCCAGAGACTTTCTGAAGATAGTTTTTCCCATTCCTTTCCAGTTTTATGTGTGTGTCTACAATCCTAGTGTTTAATCCTATGCATATCCTCATGAAATAAGCACACTACTGGGAAAGTTAAGTTCTACTGATAAATTATCTAGCTGAGAGAGTCTCTAAGAGACTTACTTCAGACTTCAATGAGAATGACTCAAAATATCACTAAAACCCATGGGATTTTAGTAAGAAAGTAATATGCTTCAACCAGCCAAAGGGACAAGAAGAGAAGACAAACTTTTCAACAAGTTGATGATCTGAAATGACTCTGCTGAACCTGCAGGACAAAGATTTACCTGTATCTCCAAAAATGGTAAGATATGTTGGGGAGGATCTTGGCAAGACAAAGTAAAACAGTTTCTTTACTGAAGAAACTCTGAGATCCTGCAGGGTGCTGAAACAGGAAGTGAATTATCACTAGGGAAATGTAATAGACAGCACTTCTCAGGCTGACTGGGAACCCAGAAACGTTTTCCATGGTGCATCTAATACACCTAGTCATGGAGAAACACACTTTGGGAAACAGTGATCAACAAGATACTTGGATCTAGATAAGGATTAGGAGTTGAACAAATTCACAACATTGTGAATAACATGTTTGCCACCTATTACATAGTGATTTATTTCTAATCGCTTTATAACTGTTTCCAAATATTGTAAATTACTTGGAATAATGTAACAGTAAAACAGGAGCAAAAGTGAAATAGGAACTTGCTTAGTAAAGGAACTAATCTCTATCCTACAATTATTAAAGCAAACCAGGATTCAAAACATTTTCTGTAGATTAAGGCTCTGATCACATTTCATCCAATAAATCTCTCTGAAAAGGCTTGCATGTTTGTTCCTGTTTACAGAACGTGCTTGTTTAATCTTTGTGCAAAAGCTTTCTTGTCCCACAAAATGTTTTCTTAAACATATAAAAACTGTTTGACTCTTTCTATAAACTGACATGAATAAAATTCTTTCCAATGTTCTCTTCAGACTTATGATGGAAGAGAGATCTGTAATAATGATCTACAGAAAACTCACGACATTATTTAAAAATTTGGAACTTTAAATTTTTAGAAGACTCTTACTGTTCTGAAGCCAGTTTTTAAGGAAAAATGGGTTTCAAATTCTTATTCACTCCTTTATTTTGTGACCATTTTTCATAACACACACAGCTGAAAGGCTCTACTTGAGTCCTTAAATCCAGGAAGTACCATGCAGGTAATTATTATTCTAAAATTAATTCCTTAAAATGCCCAATATAATAACATGGCCATCTGAACAGGAAATGTTGGCAAGGCTTATAAAATTCTACACTAAGCCAGGCGAGGTGGCACATGCCTCTAATCCCAGCACTCGGGAGACTGAGGCAGGAGGATCACTGCAAGTCTGAGACCAGCCTGGGTTACATAGTGAGTTCAGGTCAGTATCAACTACATAGTGAGACCCTGTCTAAAAAAAGAAAAAAAAAATTCTACACTCTATGGATTGAGATCTGCTAGTAAACATAATTCTTTCTTAGCAATATCAAGTAAAGTAGAAAGAGACCAGAATATCAATTTTTATTTTGAATCAGTTGTGTGCTAAAATGGCCACTTATATAATCCATTTAATTGAACATTGCCCTTCTTGGAATGACCCATCAATTCATAAAAGAAAAGAGTGATGTTATTATTGTCATGCCCACCAGCACTATCTCACAATCCCTTTAGCAGCCTGGGCTCTAGAACCAGAAGGTAGGAATTTCAATCCCGGCCCCACCATCAGCTGGTGATGGAACATTTGTCAATTTAATTGCCTGTTCGGTGCCTGCCTTTCCACCTATGAAATAGGATACATCCCCTGCTTCATAGGATTGCTACAAGAATTAAATGGGTTAGCACATGTAAAGTGCTAGGTTGGCACCTGCTTAGCAAACGTCAGTTAGGGTTCAGCTGAGCCCCGGGAGCTGTTAAGTAGAGTCCTGGAACTGGTGCTGGGGACCAAGGACAGGTAAAGAACACTTCATCTTTTGCATTTCTGAACAAGTGACTTTAAACCAGTCATGTAATCTCTTTAGCAGTCTACTAGTTAGGGATATAGCAGGAAATGGCATGCTCACGTGAGATTCTGAGAAACATTCACAGAACGGGCCATTTACAAAGAACAGTGCTACAGGACCAGCAATGCCAAGAAGCCATCATTCACTCCAGATCTGAGAGCTTAAGGAAGTCATGGAGTCGCCAGAGCCTAGAGCACAGAAAGGGCCTCATGACAGGGGCGGAAGTCCAAGAGGATAAGCCACCGCCACACTGCTGTGCTAAAGCAGAGAACAAGGAGACGGGGACACACTGGGCTGCTCACTCTCTTCCTGCCCTGCCGGGGCTCCCCATGAGCCAAACTCCAGGAAGCCAGAGAGCAAAGGGGCTGGGAGTTGTAGTCCTCAGGGGCCCCCGGGGCACCAAGCAATATGAGAAGAGGACAGTTGAAGGAGTAAGTATAAAACACAATCGATGGGCCTCACTTGAATCAAATGTAAAATGAATCTGGACTATATAATTTTTTAAGATTCTTTTGACTTTGAAATCTTAAACATTCCAGTTTTCTGACTGATTCTTGCATCTACCTAGTTACTATTCAGTGCTTTACCTGAGCTACAAATGTTCTACAGTCAAACAGTTCTAGTTTAGAAGTGTGTGTATGTGTGTGTGTGTACATACTTGCTGAAATTAAATAGAAGCCTCTCAAAAACTAAGACAGGTCCTGTGCTGCTCAAAATAGTGAGTGGCTGACCAGCAAAAAGGCAAAAGACAGCTCCAGCGACAGCAGTGCCCAGGAAGCTCTCCAACACGCCCTGAAAGAGAGAAAATATGGGTGTTAAAATGAAACAAACCTTTTTTCTTCCCCTGTGCTATGTCAGCAGGAAAAGAAGCTTCAATGAGTACGTTATGAGGAGGTCCCCAGGAAACACTTCAGGAGTGAACAGTGGGAGTACTCCACCAGTGTCAGCTTAAAACTAGCTTCTTCTCCATCGCATGGGTTGGCTGGTCCTATGTAACAACTGACAAGTAGAAGGCAAAAGATCGCTTTGGTCCTCAGTAAAATTAACTCTGCCGCAAGAAAGGACAAATTTGAGTCATCTGTATGGAAACAGATGCACCTTGAAACCATAATGTTAAGTGAAATAAATCAGACACATGAGCTTAAATATTGCATGCTTTCTCTCACATCAGACACCCAAATTATAAACAAAGAGCAAAATAAAAGACAGATAATAGAAAGTAGGAAAACAGACCTTTCTCAAAAAGGAAGAAGATCAAGCCAAGGGGGGTGGGGGAATATGAAAAAAGAAACTGAGATTTGTTATGTGCACCCACCAATCACACACAAGGAATATGATCGTTACATAATGCAAATATGGACTAAAAAATAAAAAATGAAAAACTACAGGTAAGATCAATAGAATCACATTGAATAATCCCACCAAATGGGTGGAACTGACTTGGTGTTTCAAGTACATGTTTCTCATGTGGTCACCTTCAGTGTTCATTTCATCCCAATTTCATGCTGTAGGAGTGGAGACATACAAAGCTATTTTATAATGGAAAGGGGAGGAAAGTGGAGCAAGAAAATGATTTACATTCTATTCTACCAATTTCTGTGGTATTGATTAAAAAAACTCACTGCATACATGATGTTCAATGTAAACTTATACAAAAGCTTTAATTAACTGATCTCTAAAAGAAATAAATGTACAGATATGAACAGTTAAACCTTTGTGGCCACAAATTCTTGGAATTATATCTCTGAAAATCAACCTGTTATTTCCTTTTGTACAGCAAAACAAAGAAACATGTCATGAAGAATCACTGCCTTACAAACTGACTTTAACCTATTTTATTTTCTTTTTTGCTTTGTGCACTGGGAATTGCATCCGGGTTATACAGGTGTTCTAATACAGAGCTGCATCTCCATCCCCTTTATTTTCTCCTTCTTTCTTTTTAATTTTTACTTTGAGGTAAAGTTTCCCTGAGTTGTTGGGGCTACCCTTGAACTTGAGATCTTCCTGCATCAGCCTCCTCAGAAGCTCTGATTAAGGGCATGCACCACCATACCAGGCTTGGTCCTACCTTTCTTAATCACATCCTTCAATACTAACGGTTTTGATGATAGCAAACTAGTTTGCTTCCTGTACTTTTCATTGTTTCAAACATCAGCTAGAAAAACATGTGTATTTGTAGAATGGCATTTTCATAACTATATTTTCTCAAGGGAGAGATTTTAATTGTAATGAGAAGACAGAGACCATTTATTCATACATAAGGCCATAGATCTGAACAGTAAAATTTGTAAAATCAAGTATTTTTCAAGTGAATGAAAAAATTATATAGATTTAAAGGGCACAGTAATATAAATATATAAATAACATAAATGTAGATTAATTCACCTAGTGCAGCAAAATTATGTGACCTCTGTAATTCCATGTATGTATTAAATATTATAGGAAAGTTTCCCTCTCCAATTGAATAAAGTAGCTGTTCTTAAAAATATTGCTTATATTGCATAAAACCACACCCTAGTCTATAGAACCCCAGTCTACGCTTGGGCAAGTAGACCTCTAGGAAATCTGAGGTCCCCACAGTCACTGTCCGGATTCTTACTCCCAAAAAGCAGGCTATTCACCTGCCAGCCTCACTGCACTGCTTCTTTCCTCTGCCCAAAGAATTCTTTAGCAACTTTTCATCCACTTGTCATTTTACAGAAAATTTAATACATGGGAAGTGATTAGGAAGAAATTGGTTTTAATAATCAACCTACAGAACTTATACTAACTCCCATCTCTGTTCAAAAGCCATCCTTACAGGCCTTCACTGCAATGATTACCCAAAATATTTTTACACTCCTTCAGAGCTACACACATTCTCCTGAGAATGACATTGGCAGCAGCAAGTCCTCAAGATCGGCATTTGCTTCAGAAAGCAGGTGACACCCTTTAGAGTAGCCCTAGAATATAATGAAGTTGAGGCGGGGATGCGCAGGCCCAGAGCTGACGCAGAGTAAGACTGGCTTCTCACATGGTTAGCGAACCCACTCCAACAGTCCATGGAGAAGTCTAGGCATTAAATATACAAGGAGAGGCTGGTAAGGACTCCACTCATGTAGATGTGAGTTCCAGGGGAATATTATGGAAGGGTCATCTCACGATTCATAGCATTCTGGCTCGTTCTTTTGTAGAGGAACAGGACCAGAATAGCAAGATGCATTTACCCAGAAAAGATAGCAAAATGCCTTGTCTTGATTTCATAAGTGCTTAGAAATTGTGGTTCAGGGGATTGGATGATATGAACACCCTACATGGCACAAAGACTCTGGTTCATACACCTGCCCAGCCACACCTCGTCCTCAGCAAGGGTAAAGCTGTGTCTTTGCTCCAGCTGTCTCATTCATGCAGCTTTCCATCTCCTATGCACATTCAGTAGACTTTCCATACCTTTATAGTGGTTTTTTGTTTTGTCTTTTACAACATACACGAAGGGCTAAGCACCTGAAAGGGCCATGTGGCAGGAAAAGCCACACCCTAGTTCACATGGTAGGCAAAGACAGACTGCATCATTCTTTATCAGGCTCAGAGGAGTGCTTATTTCTCATCACTACTGAAAGATCAAAACATGGCCCAGACTGGACATAAGGAAGAAAGGAGGAATAGGGAACTTAGGCTTTTCAATTTGACATAGCTATTAACCTCTGCAGGGGCAAAACAGGATCTCCCAGCATCTTCCACGTTTCTCCTCCTTTCATCGTGCTGCCACCTCTCCACGTGTGCTGTGGGTACTCAGGAAATGCTAGGCCCTGGAGAAGCCATCCCCAAGTACCCAAGTAACATCCTAGATCCAACTAGCAAAGGTCAACAGCCACTGCTGCTCATTCAGTAATAATAACAAACAATTCTTCCAGAAAATGGCTTTGATTCATGGAAGTCTCCTGACATTGAAAGGCAGATTATTTTTATTTGAGTACTTCACCCTTTGGTAAATACTACAGTTTCCATTCTGTGACTGATAATTTTGAAATAGAGACAGGTGATTTGTTATACACATTGCACTGGAAACTTGCTTAAACTTAAAGACGCTTCCAGTGTGTCTGAGTAAAGAACTATTTTCACATTTTGACATGTTCCTCTTCACAATACAGAAATTTTAAAAATAATCTCACATAATGAATAACCATAACTAGAGTTGAAGGCAGATTACAACGTGAACTACCAGAAATCTCTTTTCTGCTTTACTATATTCAGTGTATGCTGATACATGTTTTAAAGAAAAACACGGTATATCTGTCTTTTAATAGGTGTGGCCACAAGTCATGAAGACGCATCCATATCTGACTTCTCAGAGGAAAGAATTCGCCATCAATTCCCAAAAGTACAGATTGGGGGCCACAAAGTGCTCTGGGCCATCCTGGTCGGCCTTTGTCTTATTCAAACAAACACCAACTGTGGATGAACAGAAGGGGCAAACAAACTGGCTGCCAGAAAACCCAAAGCCTGGGCTTCCCAGCCACCAAAGAGCCGGTGATCTTATGTATATCCCTTCATCTCTGTTGATTTAGTTTCTTCACGCAAGATTTAAAAAATTAAGATGATACCAGAAAGCAATGGATGGTCCAGTCATACAACCCCATACTGACATCCAGACATCCATCATTTCCTCCCTCAAAGACTTGAAACCACCTCATTTCTCTACCCCTGAGTGGGTTAGTACGCAAGTCAGATCAGATGGAGAGCATTAAGCACAGTCTCTGATGGATAAAACCTTCTGGGCCCACAGTAACCACATACACAATGCACACACTTAGAGAGAAGAGGAGGAAGTCGAAGACATGGTCTCCAAGACCTCTCCCAGGCATTTTAGCAGCAGGGACATGTCCTGGAGTTATAGATAGCCGACTTAAAATTTTAGCTCTGCCACTTACCTCTCCAAATCCTAATCCTCTCTTTTGTGAAATCAGTGGCTATCTCAGAAGATACATAGACTGCATGAAATAACAGCACAAGAAAACCTTAGAATAAAGTGCAGTACAAAGCAGAGACACAATATGTTTGTTTACTTCCCCTCGCTGCCTTCCATTCTGTCTGCCCAGCCTGTCTCTATTATTTTTCTTTCCCTCAAGAGAGAAAGAAGATGGAAAGTCAAAAAGAGTGACATGAAAAGAAAAAGATGATGATTAGTTCTTGAGGCGTGGGCTGCCCTTTGTGCTCAGCTGCACTTCCGGGAGCAAATTCTAAATCAATACAAGCTGGGGTGGGGGAAGGTGACACCCTGATTTCTACTGCCACTAAGAGGTGCTTCTTTCATTAAAGCCAGCCCTAACAAGTAGTGCATCTTCTTTTACAGCAGTGAAGTCAAAATCCATATCTAAAACAACCTGTGAATGCTTTTCTGCTCACACAAGAATATGACAGTAAATCCAGAAATGGCCTCTGTCTTTCATTACAGCCAAGGAAATTAGGACAAGCCCCCAAATAGTAAAATCAAACATAAAAGAAATCAAACCGGAAGAGCAGAGATTCTAAACATACAAAATCTAACCATGATCTGTAATGCCAACATTTCATACTTTGAGCTACTATGGTCAAGAGACCATAAACAAGACCACTTCTTGTCCTAGCTAAGGCAAAGCAATCACATTTAAGAGAATAAACATTAAAAATTAGAAAAGTATGCTGTCAATTTCAACTTCACTGCAATTTAGTGTTTTTATATAACTCTAAAAAATGATTTTTATTGTTTTATGTCTCTTTTATTAAGGACCTTAATATCTGGAATAATAGTTGCAACCCTGTTCAGGGAGGCT